TCGTAGATAAAGGTGCTTGAAATGAGTTTCCTCTGCAGGGTATCTGAACTCTCCCTTAGAGATAGGGTGAGAAGTTCAGTTATCAGGAGAGACTCGGAGTAGAACCGCTGCTCCTCCACATCAAGAGGAGCCAGTTGAGGTGGTTAGGGCATCTGGTAAGGATGCCCCATGGACGCCTCCCTAGGGAGGTGCTTTGGGCATGTCCAACTGGGAGGAGACCCAGGACACGCTGGAGAGACTGTCTGTCAGGTGGTCTGGGAACGCCTTGGAGTTCTCCCAGAAGAGCTGGAAGAGGTGGCTGTGGAGAGAGATGTCTGGACCTCCCTTCTCAAGCTGCTGCCCCCGCGACCCGACTTGGGAGTAAAAAAAGATAATGGATGGATGAATGGAAGGTCTGACATTGTGAGTTTATACATTTTTACCATTACCAGAGTCACTTAATCCAAGCACTGATTTAGGAGCAATGTCTATTCTGTTTTATGTAATAAATAAAAGATAATTTAAACAAAAAAAAAAAACTCCTAAAAAATGAAGGATATAAACAAGTGAAGGAAGTCTCTCAGGTGAAAAATAAATTAAGGCATTGATAAAGTGTTATCCAATCAAATTTTACAAAAATAAAAAGTGAAAAAAGTAAAAAAAACAATAAAGGGAGCAAGGCGTTCGGCGCTCATCAGCTGTGAAAGCAACCGAAACAGAATTAAATTAATGAAGCATTCAGCCTCTTCTTTCTATGAATTCTACCTCTCACTTTGACGAAGCTCAATAGGCAAAAAAAGAAAAGAAAAAATCTAAGGTTGCTGTCAATCTGCATATGTACGCTTCAAATGGAATGAATTACCGCAACGCTGCCTGAAAGACAATTTCACAATGTGCTTTCAAGGATCACAGCAATTCACAGAAACTCTTACAAGGCCCCATTCATGCCTGCACTGTATGATGAGGCGCGCCTGGTTATGTTGCTTCTGTTCGATTGTTGTCTAAGCGTTTGCAACGTGATCAATGCCTCTTGTTAGTCCTCGGGGACGGTAGCTAATTAACAAAGGGAAAAACCAAATTCATCAGAGTTGCCTCCCCTCCCCTGCACATTTTCCTCTGTCTCACATCTTCTTATACGATGGGATAAATACCTTGTCAGAAATTTTAGTTATTTCTGGGCCTTGGATGAAATATTTCCAAATGTATTTACAAAAAATAAATATGTGTACATTCAAATCTCATGGTAGAGACATGAAGTCCAGTTGTGGAAATAAAATATTAGCCATGACGTTAAAAATCCCCTTTACTTTTTATTTTCATGACTGCTTTTAATTAATTTCAAGCTTAGTGAGGTAAAAAAAAAAATATATATATATATAGGGAAGGTCTCAGTTTTATGCATGAAATGCTGGCATAAAAAAGGCACATATAAAATGGTTCAGAAAATAATCAGTCTAGTTAATTATTTAAACACAAGATGCCTAAAAACAATTATTTAATATAGAAAGTGAGTGGAAGAAACTATTGTCTAAGAGTTTTTTGTTGATTTTTAAGATTATTAACAAACAAATAAGCACCATCAAAAGAAAAAAAACAAACCCTACCATATATAAATAATGTTACTAATTGAATTTTTATTTGTTTATGTGTTTTGAATGTTTCTGATCAGTGCCCTGAGATGACTTCTGTTGTCACTTGGCGCTTTATAAATAAACTGAACTGAAATAAATGTAATGAAAATTGATATAAATCCAGTAAAGTTTTGTTGAATTTGGCATATAGTTTAAAAATTGTGGGGGTAAAATACATTTCTTTCATTAACATTTTTGTTAGATTCATCAGGAAGTTGTCACGTAGCTTTTTGAACACACAAACACACACGTCTTCCTTTCAAGTCGATTTTCGTACGATACACAAGAGACAAAGCTGCTCGTCTTGAAACTCCCTCTGTTCTCTGTGCCTCAGGCTGCCCTGTCTGGCCCACTTTACTGTATCAATAACAAAGTAAAAACCTCTAAATGAGTGAGATCAAGCGCTCCTCTAATATCATCATGATTACTATCTGCACATAACAGTAAAGGGGGTGTTAGATGGCTTTATATCTGGCTTGCTTTGGGGAGGGAAGGGGGCAAGCCGAAGCCTGCCGGGAGCAGCCTTCCTGTGTTTGATGAAAGAAGGAGCGAAAGGGAAACCTGTGTTTTCACTCGCAGATATTGTGATCTAACAAACCACTTGTAATGTCAGATGTTCTGAGATCCTCTGAAGACGAAAGAGAAAACAAAACAGTCGGGTGCTGCACTGTCGAGCTCACTTTATAAGCAAACGAAAAGAAAAGAAAGCAGTGCGTCTATCAAAAGGACGGTGATCTGATGGAACTGCTTCAGTTGTTTGGAGAAAACCCAATAGTTTATCTGACACCATTAATAAAAGATTAAGAGCTGTTGATCTCAATATTAAAATATCGTACTGTAAATATGGAAACACATCATTTAGACTACTTTAGTTTATACATGTTGTAAGTAAATCTACGACAGTTTCTGATTTAGGATGTATTATATGTATTCATACCTGTTATCCAATAAGAAAATCATTTAAGTGAATTGTTTAAGATGACTGGTTCATCTCTTTATTTTTTTTATTTCATACTGACAACATAAAAAGGCTTGTGTCAAAAATACACATGGGTAAAATGACGACTAATGTAACTTTACCAATAAATACATTCAAATTAGAACAATTCAATCAAAATCTAATCAAATTTCAGAATTTCTGTATGTATGTATGTCAGCAAAGTTTATACAAATTGGAATAAGGTATTCCATTTTCCTTAGGTCTTTAGGCTCAATGACCTACTCCAAAACATTGCTAGATTGCAAAAAATGTTGGAAGACCTCCTTTTGTGTGAAAGCCATCAAAACACTGATTTACTGTTACAGTAGTACTCAACAATTAGGCTTTCCCCACTATATTTAGCATTGCCCTCATCAGGTCTATACACCCACCCTGGCATGATTCTCTCTGACCGTCAGGATGGAGCTATGCTCTAAAACTGGGGTCGGGAACCTATGGCTCGCGAGCCAGATGTGGCTCTTTTGATGGCTGCATCTGGCTCGCAGACAAATCTTTAATAAAAAAAAAATAATGATAAAAAAAATAAAAGATGGTCACGGGTGGCTGGAGCCAATCGGATAATGCGTAACGTACATGGGTGGTCAGGAAGTAAATTTCCTTCATAGCAGCTAGCTAGCTAGTTGCGGAAACGTGTCGAAGAAGATGGCTAAAAGAAAACGAGATGAGGAGTATCGTACTTTTCAGCAGGAATGGACAGAGGAGTTCGCTTTTTTTGGAGAGAGCAGGTTCTGCAGTGTGTCTAATATGCAATGATAAAATTGCATCGACGAAACGTTCAAATATAAAGCGGCACTTCGACACATGCCATGCTACATTTGCATTGAAATATCCTGCGGGGGACAGCAGGAAGAACGCATGTGAAGAGCTACTGTGCAGAGTGCAAGCTAGTCAGCAGCAACTCCGTGTTTGGACCTAACAAGGTGACTGGAATTCGGCTAGTGTTGCTGGTGCTTTAGCAATTGTGAGAAACGGAAAGCCATTCACAGATGGTGAGTATGCCAAAACATTCATGCTTGATGTTGCCAATGAACTTTTTGAAGACTTTTCGGATAAAGACAAGATAATTAAACGAATAAAAGACATGCCTCTATCGGCAAGAACTGTTCATGATCGTACCATCAAGATGGCAAATCAAATTGAGGCAACACAAGTGACGGACATAAATGCAGCAACATTATTTTCTCTCGCTTTGGATGAGTCAACAAACAAAAGCCATTTATCCCAGTTCAGCGTGATTGCAAGGTATGCTGTCGGTGACACACTACGTGAGGAAAGTCTTGCTGTTTTGCCTCTGAAAGGGACAACAGGAGGGGGGGATTTATTCAAGTCTTTCACTGAGTTTGCTAAAGAAAAAAAATTAACAACAGCATAACAATGTTATTAAAAAGAATTCAGAGGCTTATTGTACTTTAAAAGTGTTGGTCTTACATAAAATACACATTTACTTGTATTTAGTTTTAAAAAATATTGTATGGCTCTCACGGAATTACATTTTAAAATATGTGGCGTTTATGGCTCTCTCAGCCAAAAAGGTTCCCAACCCCTGCTCTAAAAGATCAAGCCACACAAGTATGACAGTGCCACCATGGGTATCATGTCTGTGGCAAGATCTTTCTATGACCCCAAAAAAGTTAAGTCTGGTCCTCTGGATGGGTTAAAAAAAACAAATTTGTAGAAATGTTTTGTCTTTCAACCGAAAGACGAAATGTTTCTACAATTTTTTTTTTTTTTTTTACCTGTCCAGAGGACCAGACTTAACTTTTTTTTTTTTTTAGATTTTTCTACCTGGATTATTGAGCCTGCATCAGGATAGCTTTCTATGACATAGTCAAGATCAGAGATGTAGCTCAGGCATGTGGTCTATCATGCTTCAAATTCAAATGGTTAAGTCACGCTAGCGCATGCAGTTGCCATGTTATACTGTACAGTAGATACACATCCACCACTGGCACCACGCTCCACCATGGACCACGATCCGCTACCACTATGTTGCTAAACCATCAGAACCTCTCTACTGAACTTTTGTACATGCTTAAAACTATCATGGCCCTGTCATAATTTATCTCTCACAATGGGAAGGCTAATGTACCTAAAGTCCTGGAAAAGACCCAACAAAGACCATTTATGTTTGCGTTGTAAAAAGTGCCATTATACATTGGTGTGGGCGACTGATCAACCCAATCGGACCAGCTTTCTTTAATTTTGTACTGCTGTTTTCCAAATAGCGACAACTAAGTATGTCCGGTGAAAGAGAATCTACAGTATGTAGCATCTAAATCTGAATGGAAGGCTTAAGAGAAAATTACCCTATTTCTTTCTAGATAGATAAAACAGTTAAAACAACCTCCCCACTCATACGTACGTATGATAAACTGAGGGCTTAGTCTTACCGTCTTGTTCTGTTTTGGTCAGCTCAACGAGCTTCTTCTGTTTCAGAGTGTCCACCACATCTGCCAGGCTTCCTTTGCGACGCTCCGGTGTCCCAAACGTGAGGCCGATGATCGTCTCTCCTCGATCTCTAGAACACTCCTCTGGTTTGGTTGGAGAGGTAGAGTTATTCCGGTAGGTGTAAACTGAGCAGCCCTTGGTGCTTTCATTGTCCTGAGAAGAAACAGCAAGCACGAGTTACAAGAGTTTAGTCCCTTACTGGATATGGCTTCGGACTTGGCTGAAGTAACATTGACATGAACTTACTAGAGTAACACTGCAAATGTCAAGTTCAAGTTTGCCTTTTGCTTCTAACAGAAGGTGACGATTAGAGTATTTGATCTATCTGTCAGCAAGAGTACAATGGTGCTGCTCCATTACGTCTTTCAAGTTGCTTGGGTCACTTGTTTATGGCCCTGCCGTGGCATTATACTATGGCTCAGTGTAAAATGTTAACATCTGCTTTTCACATGAGAAAATCTCAACCTAAGAACAGGCTCTGGAATAAATGGGAACAGAAAAAGACTGTTGTCTGACTTGAACCACAGCTGATTCATTCTGCTTGAAAACAAAAGATCGATCACCTTTGTTCACATAAAGCTGAGAAGGTGCAGCTATGCAGGAGTATCTCGAGTGGTGCTTTTATATCTTAATATTTTTCATTGTTAAGAATTCAACAGCAGTCTAAAGAAAAAAGGCTGAAACCTGTCTTGGTTAAAGTCAACCCAAACTCCGAAATTGGTGGGAAGCAGCTAAAATACTTTTGATGGATCTTCATATTTTCTTTTGCATGAAGAGACTGCTTGTGTTCTGCTGGGTTAAGCAAGAGGCACAATGAGTCTATATTTACCAAGAAGATAATCCCTTTGGGATGGCCATATTGTCCCATACAACAGACCTCACCACAGGTGTTCTAACGCTGGAGCTATTTCAGGATGCTTTCTCCATTCCTTACAGAGTGTGGGGGGATCTCCAAGAACTTTCGGAGGCTTATGTTTCAAAGACAACGAGCTTTGGTGAACAGCAGGATCTTAAGACGCCCTTGAAATGGCTCCAAGGGGCCCCACTGTGCACTTTGTCTTTAAGCAGAAGATGCCTCTGTAATGAGGACTGGAGGATAGTGTGTCACTGGTGGATTGTTCAGGCGTGTTTTTAGGTTACACACAAGGAGTTATAGAACCTGAATGGTGCAGGCAGGATGAGCTGATGGTCAGGTTCATGACAACATGTGTGAACTTGTAGGTTTGTCCCTTGAGCAAGGCAACTTGAACTGATTCTTTGAAGAAGAAAAAACAGAATCAGATTTCTAATATTTTTTTTAAATGTGGTAAACAATAATTATTGTTAATTATTAAATAGAAAAATGCCAGTGCAGCTACTCTTATCCCTAAAGATTAAATAATATTTCTAATAATCTCACCTGTGAAAATAGCATTATGTTTGAACTGTGTAAAAAGTAAAAAGAAAGATTAGCTCAAAATAAATGTTAAAAAAATGCTGACAATGGCTCATTAGGGTCATCATGGTAACCACGCACATGTGTCTCTCACTCCCTGACAGATGTCTTAATATGACAGGCAGTCTGAAATGCACAGTAGCGCATAAAACAAAAACAAACAAACAAACAAAAAAACTAAAGATAAATAAAGACTGTGATGGACTGGAGACCTGTCCAGGGTGTCCCCCACTTCGTGCACAGTGACTGCTGGATACGGGTATCAGTGACCCCTGCAACCCGGAAAGGAAGACGTGGGTAAAGACGCTGGATGGATGGATGGATGGATGGATAAAGATACATTATCCATCCATCCATTATCTTTACCCGTTTATTCCATTTTGGGTCACGGGGGTCGCTGGTGCCCATGTCCAGCAATCACTGTGCAAGGGGCAGGGTACACCCTGGACGGGTCGCAAGTCCATCACAGGGCCACATAGAGACAAACAACCATGCACTCTCACTCACACCTAGAGAAAATTTAGAGTTACCAATCAGCCTAACATGCATGTTTTTGGTCTGTGGGAGGAAACCGGAGTACCCGGAGAAAACCCACGCATGCACGGAGAGAACATGCAAACTCCACCCAGAAGGCCCCTGGACCGGGGTTTGAACCAGGGACCTGTTCGCTGAGAGGCAGCAGCTCTACCAGTTGCGCCACCGTGCTGCAAAGATACATTATATTGAACCAATTTTGAACTGTGTGACAGAAGTATCTGGTTATGTATAAACTGTATGAGAAATGTAAAAAAAAAAAAAAAAACATGCAAAAAAGTATTTGCTTTCAAATGTTTAAGTTTAGATAGCTCAAAAGTCAGTTTGTGACATCATCATGTTACTTTAAACTTTCAGTGGTAAAATCTCCAAATATCACTAAATTAAATTAACTGTTAAAGATATGAAAATGACAGTTCAGTCATGTAAAGTCCAATTTTCAGTAATGTTTGACTTGACGTTTCTATTGTGAAGTTTCTGAATTTTCTGTCTTGCGCTGCCAAAATCCTATTGTTGTGTTTGTGGAAAGGTTTCGTTGCTCTTTGCAAATTTCCTTCAATACGTCTACCAAACGTCATGGCACAATATTCCCAATCAAGCAGCAGGTATTGATTTTGTTTTTCAAAGCTTCAAGAGAAATGGCAAATTAAAAATAATGAAAGAAACAGAAGTTTATTGGGTAAATAGTAAATAGGGTGCATCAGTATGTTAGCACTCTTAATAAGGAATACTGAAAAGGAATGTCTGGAAAAAAGCTGTTTGTCATTTTTTGTTTTGTTTACTCAAATATTGGAACTGGTTATTCTTTTACTGATTTAACTGAGGCAACACTTACTCCTGCTGCACGCTGAGCTCGTTGTTCTGGGCCTAAAACTTCAAGTATCCCTTTCAGTAAAGCTTCCCAGGATTGAGGAAGAGTTTTGCCTGAAGGTAGCTCTGAACCTCGAAGTTAAAGCAAAGTAAAATCAAAGTTTCTATAAAGTTGGATTGAGCTTAAACATCTTGAGGGGTATATTTTAATGTCTGTACAACTAAATGAATGTTTTGTAATACAAAAACAATTAAAATATTTTATTCAGAACCCCATTTGTCAGGGAAATGTGAGATGTGTTTGCAACAATGATCATACCAACAGCAACCTTACTCCAAGAACTTTCCTCAGAAGCTCAACTCAAACCAGCTTTATCCATCAGGGACCAACAGAACCTGAAGCCAAGTTCTACCACCTCAATACATTCACATACAAACACCTGAAAACATGCTGAGTAGATGAGAAGAATCTGGGGGTATAACTCTCCGGAGGAGGACCCTCAGTGGGCTGCCTTCAGCACTGCCTACAGCAAATAGACCAGAGACGACTGCTGTTGTGTGTGTGTGTGTGTCCGGTGTAGTGCTTGTGTATATATACATTTAAAAGTGGGCACACAAGAGTGCGCGATCATCATTATGCATGAGAATTTGCGCTCCTGTGCGCTCCAGCATGTATTTCATGAGTGTTTTATGAGGTGCGTGCCCCAAGTGTGTTCACTGTGTCCGCACAGCAACCGCTTTTGTTTTATAGATGTGAGTTAGTGCAACATATCTTGTGTTGGGGCACGGTCAGTTTCTGTTCTCCGTGCGTAATTCACTTCTCACCATCACAGCAGGGCCGACGTGCTCCCACTCAGCGTCTGTTGGTTTCTCTCTGGCAGGCTGAAGTTTGTCCGGGTGGGGCTCATCATGCGAAGAAGGCGATGCCGTCTCCTTTGGGCTGTCTCGCTCTGCGCCGTCCCAGGGCCCGTTGTCCTGACCGATCATTTCCGCCTCCTCAGACGGTACATGAAAGGGAGGAGTTGCTCTCATGGAAGACATCATTCTGTGAAGAAGGGAGAAAGAGAAAGGGATTTTGGTGATTTTTTTGGTTTGGTTTGTGTGATTTACAGTCTTGGCACCAGAAAGAAATACAAACAGAGGTGACAGGAGAACATTGTGATATTAGTGCTGCTGATCTCTTGGTGAAAAAGTTAATCAAAATATCAAAAGATTTCAGAACCAACACTGACGGGAGTTGCATTCAGGCCTAAAAAATCTGACCCGACCCCAGCACGTAGACATTTTTTCCAAACCCAACCCGATCCGATCAAATTCACTGGAATTACAGGCCCGAACCAAAAAAAAACATTATTTTTATTAAGCTTTTACTGCTTTTATAAGCAAATAAGTTAGACTTTTTTTTTTTTTTTTTAAGTATTTTAGAAAAAGGAAGACATAAGACTTCTTCCAACATTTTTCAGTCAGGTCATCTGGACAGTTTCTTTTTTTTGTGCTGAAACGTTTCACCTTCGATCCGGAAGGCTTCATCAGTCAAGGAAACACACAACAAAACTGATTCTTCCCCCAACAGCTTAGTCCAGCTTACTTCTGGATCGAAGGCGAAACGTTTCAGCACAGAAAAAAGAAACTGTCCAGATGACCTGACTGAAAAATGTTGGATTGTATACCTGGATTATTGAGCATGGACTTTGTTGATATAACATTTCTTGTTTCACCAAATGGATAGTAACAAAACTAATTGCCTAAAAAAAATCAACTCTAAATAAAGATAGGCTATACAGATGAATAAAACTATTTTTAGAGTAAAATTATTTGGAAAAATACAGAACAAGTCTATTTTAATTAAACGCGATGCTCGCTTCGGCTTTTGTAGATGCTGCTACTTCCTTCACCGCAGATGACAGCAGGTTCGGAGACGCGCGCAGCCGGTGATCAGCTGATTGATCCATCCATCCATTATCTTTACACACCTTCCTTTTCAGGTAGCAGAGGTCGCTGGTGCCCATGTCCAGCAGTCACTGTGCGAAAGGTGGGGGACACTCTGGACAGGTCTCAAGTCCATTTCAACCGGTGGGTCAGTGGATGCGCGCGATGGTGATCAGCTGATCCATCTCAGCTTAACGCAACTTTTTAACCTCTTTAAACCAGCCGGCCGGACCTGCCTCCTACTATACAAGTAGATTAACACAATTTTATATTGTGCATTCTTATTTAGTTTTATTTGTGCTGCATGATTTGTAAAACCGCATCAAAGCCCGAGACCGGCTCGGCCCACACATTAATCACATTATAATGGCCCGGACCGGCCCTAATCCAGGTCGGTCTGGGCCGGGTTTCGGGTTTGAGTTAGAAAGGACAGCTGTTCTCCTGGATGCCTTTGAAATATACGTATGACTGTCAGTTTAAGTGGAATGAGCAGTGCTGCACTTTTTGGCAAAGCAGAAAACGGTGATTATTATTTCATTTATAGACAGGAAACATAAAGATTTTGATATGAGAATAGAATTAAATGTCAGCATAAACCAAAGAAATGAAAAAAAATTGATGTAAGATATGCAACAATTCAACGATAGACACATTTGACAGGGAAGAAAAAGATTCATTCACATTTCATTGATCTGAGTTGTTGAACAGAACTTCTGCGCGTGTACACTATTTATGAGTAAGTTGAAGTGTGACTCGTAAAATGGGCAGGAATCCCGTCTGCTCCGACCGTTGTTCAGAGACCATATGGGCCGTAATGTTCTGAACATGTCACTGTTTTACTGCCTTGGCTGGAACGCAGCATCCAGTGACTCGCAGGTTAAACTAGAGGAGGGCCGTGGGTGGAATGGCATGAAAAGTGAAACTGCCTCAACTCTGACCTGAAGATGGTGGAGAACCAATAATAGTACAGCTTCATTACCTGCACAGTAAGGACAAACTGTACTGAACATTTGCCCCTGATTTGAATTAAGTATTTCAGAGAAAAACAAGAAACGAGGATTAATTTCTCACAAAAGTTTGCTCCAGTTCGGAGAGCAAGCTACAGCTCTAAAGGGAAGATGATATTAAATCCATGTTGCACTGATGGTTTATCCTGAAATCTGTCTGAAGTTGGTATTAACTCAAAAATTCCCAATCTAACACAGAGTTTATTGACTGGGGTCACCTCTGTTTGAAAGTATGTCAGTCAGCGAACCCTTCTGATTGTCTGTGTAAAATTAGTCAAATAATCATGTCTCAGTTTGTTTAGGGGCAAAGAGACTTTACGCCTCAAATAAGAAACTATTGAGTTTGTTACCAAAGAAAGTTGGCTGCATCCAAACAAAAGGCAAGCATGGGGTGCATTTTCTGGCATGAAGTTAACTTTTGAGAAGACGTGCTCCCATCAGACCAAACAGCATAAAGCAGGGCAGCTTCCAGCAGTATTTTAATGAACAACAAAGTGTGGGATCTAAACTGGCCTACAGGCAGTCCAGTTCAGTCTTCTGAAGAAAATGTGCAGCTCATGGTGAAGAGGAGAAACGGACAGCAGCTCTCACAGACTGCTGGGACGCTGAAATTTGGATTAAAAACAAAAAGAACATTAATTTTCCTCGTAAAACCAAAATATATTGTTTTCTAAATTCGTAAGCCTTTTACAACAGTGGTCCTGAGGTGTAAATGAGCAACATTAAAATAAAAAAAACAGAATTACATTAAGCCAAAGCGGAAGTGGCCGGAAATACATTTGAAAAAAAACAAATTACATGACATAAAATCTTTTTTTTTTTTTTTTTTTTTTTTTTGTAATTTTGGATTCTCAATAAAAAAAAACAACTGAATGGATGGTACACGGACCCCATATCCTTCATGAGAGTTTGTATTTTTATCTTGTTACTGTACATTGTTCTGGTATTATTTTTTATGTTGTAAATAAAATTAAATTAAATTAAATTAAAAAAAAAAACACTTAAAGTTTGGCTTAATGTAATTCTGTTTTTTTTTTTATTGTGATGCTGTTATTAATAAACTTTTTTCTCGCAATATACTAAAACAACATGCTCTTTGTTAATATCTATCCCCAAAGGTTGTAACCGACCGTTTTTAATTTATTAGAAACAAAGTATTTTAGTTTACCTCATAATTCAAGTTTATGACCAGATTAATGCAGCCTCCTGTACATAAATAACGGTTCTTAATAATCTGCAGCCTTGTCCTCAGTGTTTGCAGTAAAAGTTGACAACAGGTGTCTGTATATACATTCAAGTTACAGCTTCTGTTTTAAAAGTGGCCTGTCAAACGTTGCATCCTGACACCGGTGCCGTCCTCGTTCCACACTGGAAGTTTTGGAACAAGAAGGCTTAGCGTTTACGCAACATTTTGAGTTCTTGAGATCACAAGACTCTCGACAAGCAACACATAACAAGTCAATCTACTCAGGCGCTCCACTCTGAAGCAAGCATAAAATAAGAGAAGACAGAAGACAGCCTATTTTTAGCTGACAATATTGTTACTGCTGTGTTCATGGGGAAGCTTGGTTTCCTAGAACCGGTGTCTCATATGGCCAGGAATGTCCAGACTCCTAACCTGCTGCCACTGGTTGGGTTTCACCAGCAAACACCATTTAGTTTGTTGTTAAGCACGCCCCAAAGTCTTTGTGACTGGCTGGAGGAGGAAAACAGTGCACGTTACGCACTGATCATCAAGGAAGAGATCCTTTAGCTTCATTTTTGACTGCCCCTTTGGTAAACTAACTCTGTGGCCTTAAAACTTTAATGGAATTTGAAGTTTAAATATTGAAACTATTAATTTTTCCTGTTGTTTTTTTGTAATTAAAGTTGGTTTTATATTTTGAAAACGTTTATCACAACTTCAGCTCAGTGTGATGTCACTCACTTTAAATTGAGCTGTACAAATGGTAAATGGACTGCACTTGTGTAATATCTATCTATTTAAGATACTCAAAGCTCTTTACAACACAATCTGTGCCGTCATTTACCTCCACACACACATTCATACAGCACTCTACTATTTCTGCACAAAGATAATTGAACAAATCATCATATAGAGAATAATCAAAGCTTTATCACATTCATGGGACACGCATCAGAGGCAATGAGGGGTTCAGTGTCTTAAGCATTTGTCTGCTGGTGGAATCGAGCCCCCAACGCTCCCATTGGAGGACGACTGCTTTAACCACTCAGCCACAGCTGCCCATGTATAAACCTGACAATGGTTGTTAAACTCTTATTTTCACATTGTTTACACTTCTTACACAGTTTATACATCATGACGTCTCCTTTCACTCAGATTGTCTCTCGCTGCTATAAAAAACTCCGTTTTCTCTCAGATTTTCTCCAGAATGCACAGCGTGCACATCTAAAGTATTAACTTCTATTGTATCTTAGCTCAAATTTTTCACTTTAAAACGGGAAGTCAACAATCCAATACCTTCATGAAAATCTGTAGACACAAAAATGGACATAAGCAACCAGATGATTTGGGTTATATTTTAATACTACTTGTAGTTGTTGCAAACTATAAGTTTAAGGCTTACTTTCTAATATGCGATTTTGCCTGCCTTATTTGAACTGCTGACACGTGTAAGGCGCAGGTGTGTGGTTACCATGGTGACCCTAATGAGTCAGTGGTTGCAGCTGTTATGTTTCTTCAATTTTTTTTATTTTTGTACTCTTCTTATATAGTTTCTACTTCAAAACGTTGACATTTTGTCTGCTTAAATTATAAAAAAAATTAAGTCCTAAATTACTTTTGGGCTTAATAAAAGAAAAAGATTGAACACTGAATTCTCAAGCAGTTGTAATTTTGGCACGCTTTAACGTTTTTCCCCTTTTCGTTCACCCGATATAGGTAATGCGTTCAAATATCTAACATAAATCTACTTCATACCAAACGTCACGTGAATTGTAACCATCACAAACTCCAACTGCACATCACATCTTCAAAGAAACAAAAACTCCATCACATAACGTGGGATTTTCCCCAACTCCAACTGTTACGTACGCATGGTGACATAAACCTGTTTTCACTGCCACAAAACAACAGAGCAGCATTAAA